TTTTCCTGATCGGAGAGTTAGTGCCAAAATTAAAAAAAACAGATTTGGGTTTCGAGTCCACCACTGGTTTTGGGCGAACATCTACTCTAATATCACTTTTTCTGAAGCCCCCATGTTTCGATTTTGGTCCGAACTACCTAAGTTTTCATGACAATTTGAAAACTGAACATTGTTCGTTATGTAGGCCTGATGGACTCAGGAACTTCCTTTTGTAGACCCAATCAAGGAAAGTTATTTTGATGCCATTATGCAAAATGTTGCCATCCTGAAGCTTAACAGAACTCATTATATTTTTGTGGTGATCAAAATAAAAATTTAAGAAAGAAAGAATTGATTATCAGAACATAACAAGCAGCTAACAACATAACAAGCAGCTAACGTTCGATGACGAAAGTGAAAAGGCATTCCAAAGTTCTTGAAATTCATCTGCATATCTTACCAGGTTGTATAACTTTTAGTGAGTAATCAAGTGTAGTCATAAATGGCTGCTGGCATGGGCCGTACTATCGAAAAAAAAATCGTAACTCTCTCAGCCAATCAGTGACGGCTTGTTTAACAAGGAATATAGACAATGTATAATATTCTTAAGTACCCTCACACGTCCACATTACAATTTATATAGTTGGTTCATTTCATACTGTTGTGATTGTAACATATTTTTGCACATCTTGCAGTTTTTAAGATCACAAATACTTGAGCAACGAGCTGGGGGTTCGCAATCAGCAACTAGTTTGAAAAATATCGGTCTACGTAAATCAAAAAAAGTGGCCGAGTGGTTAATTAAGAAGCGGCAAGCGCTCAAACTTGCATAACGTAAGTTGACACCGTTATATTATATGGTATTAATTTATATTATATTATATTATATTATATTATATCATATTATATTATATTATGCTATATTAAATATTCAAATAAAAAATCATCTAATCAAAATTAGCGTTTTGAAAGTTCAATGTGATCGTTAATCTGTCATTAGACAGAAAAACTTTCTATGAATAAAGAAGTATAAGCCTAATTGGCAGCGTGACCTTATCAGTCCCGTAACATGAGATAGCGACGCGATCAAACCTTATCACCGTCCCAGAAATTACTCGTGACTTTCACTACGGAGATAAGATATCAGCGGCCTGTAAGCGCTGCAGCAGTTTTTCATTGCGGTGCTCGCAGGTAGCAGACATGCGCATACGTGACATTTTATAGAAAGTTCAATGCAGTTAAGGATGTCCTGAGTATTAGAGTGAAAAAGAAATTAGTACAAAGTTAGTGGTATCAATTCGAGTATATATTCCGAAGTGTTTGAACAGTTCACTAGTCGTTGCATCGTATTCTCGCAGCGCTCAATATTTGAATATTATATTTTATTGATATTTTAATATTATCATAAAATGAGGAATTAACATAAAATAATATTATACTATTTTTATGAGCATAAATTACTTCAATAAATAGTAAAAGGTAATTAATATGTTACTTCTGCTGTTGCGTTTTTTAGGGAAGTTGTGATGTCGACCAAACAAGTGTCGTAGATCAGCAGATGCTGGATTACTAGCTATAACTCAGAAGGTTTAAGTGAAGTGTACCTAATATTTAGTAGGTACATTAGTGTAAAGAGTACGAAACTCAATATTAGCTACATTAAACTTTTAAACTCGTCACAAGATGACAAGTGCGATGATAGAGTGCGACATTTGTTACGAGAACTTCGACTCGAACAACCACAAACCGCTGTGCCTGACCTGTGGCCACACGTTTTGCTTTTCTTGCATTGCACATTTTCTAGAACGCCCCGATACTCGAAATTGCCCTAAATGTAGGACTCAAATTCCCCAACGAATTGATCAAATTATGGTCAACTACGCATTGATGCCTCCAGAAACCACTGCTCGTCTACATTCGCCGAGCTCGCTGTCAGAGGCACCGTGCCTCCATCATGGGAAGGCGCTGGTTTACCTCTGCGTGGACTGCATGAAACTCGTGTGCTTCACGTGCATCAAGGGCACACATAAAAATCACAAAATTGAATTATTAGACGACCTACATAAAGAGGATGAATCTGTTTCCAATTCGTGGACGAAAATACGGACAACTATACACGATAAACTCGGGCGCGTGAGTAACTTAATCTCCATGTCAGACGATATTTTGAGTTTGATTGAGGAAATCATCAACCTGAAGACTGAAATTCAGGAATGGAAGGATTCGCTGCTGGTCCAAAAAATGTCGACACAACACGACCTCCAGGCCTGGGATGCCTCGGCCACCGGTATGGCTGAGAATTGGCGACATGAATGCAAGGAAATACTTTATGCTCCCCAACTGACTGTAGCCTTTCTCAAACTCTGCCCCAAATTTTCACTAGGTACTAGTTTGGTACTAGGGTACTAGTTTGGTACTTGGGTACTAGTTTGATATGAAGACACTAGTTTGCTAGACGCGGTAGCAAAGGTTTCCTGACGTACTCCATTCATGTTTTAAACAAAATGTTGAATTCTTCGAGTAATGAAGTGCGTATCATACATGTATGTTAATTTAATTTCTGAATCTATTTACCTGTGGATGCAATCAAATTGTTGAATCTATTTTCGTAATGGCATTTACAAATCAAAATTTCTAGAATGCAGATGCAGTCATGTAAAATGGTCGAAATAAAAAAAACGCAATTCCGAGTTGATGTATTCATAGATTCCAAATGCTAGATTCGAGGGCCGGCTGTTGCGGCGACGGCACGACAGTTTGCCGGCGCTGGTGCGGCCGTGCCGCAAATCGTCCGCCCATCGGCACCACCGAAAAGTGTATCTACGGGAGCCACTCCTAAGGCAGTGGTTCCAGAGTCGGTAAGTGGTGACATCAAGTTAGAAGGAGCAGGTCATAATAGCCGGGAACTTTCAGCCCCTGTGGGGGCCATATAGACTCGGTTCAGCTCGTAAAAGAGCACACGTTCTCTGCGCGTGCTGTGTACGAGAAAGTTGAACGCTATTTGGACAATGACCCTATCATTGTAATGGGTTCAGGCACATATCAACTTTAGGTTCCAATGAGGTTGAATATGATTTCAAAAGAATTTCTGACGGCGTATTCATCGATGAACATTGATAAATAGTGTCTCAATACTATAGTCTTCTTCGCTCAATTCGTGTGTCAAATCGAGTGAGTGAGGTTGATTGCAGCTTTGAAGAAATGAGATTCGTTATAGGTGATGAAGTGACTTATGAGACAGATTGTTATGAGTTGGAATAGAAGTCAGCACCGATTGAAACAACAGAGCAGGCTTGGAGCAGGATCAATCATGGCCACAGCATACCGGCACAAGTGGAGTAAAATTTGAACCGCAAATTCAAACAATATGATTTCAAGTTATAAATAAATAATGTACCATTTAAATGTGCTAGCTTCAAATGTGTTACAACGACATCTATACCACTCAATAAATCGGTAGATAATTTCAAAACTACCTAAAGATTCAATATTATTTAATATGAAAGGCATGAAATGAGAGGAGAAAGGTAAAATAAATGAATTCTAGGGGTTGAATTGAAATAAATAGCGACAAAATGATCATTCTCACATCGTAATCAAAATATGAATGCTATAAAAGTGGAGACGTCAAATATTGCTAATGTATCGAGCACGTTTATTTGGTCATTTTTATGTTAAGTGTATCTCTTGCTTCTGAGGAGTTAATAGATTCAAATTTTAGATTCAAGGGCCTGCTGTTACGGCAACGGCGCGGCAGTGCGCCGGCACTGGCACGGCCGTGCTGCGAGTGCAAAACGATCTTCAGGCGACGCTACCGCAAGGCGCAACTACGGGAGCGACTCCTCGAACATTCCAGGCTCCTGGGCCGGTGAGTCATCGCTCAGAATATGAGAATCCATGTACAAATAACGTTGAACTTATCACTCCTGTGTGGGTCTGCCTGACCCAGTTTTGCCCAGCAACAAGCCTGAGGCCGTGCTACAATAACCCATTCAAATTCTGAGTGTATGCCCCCACTGTCATTGTGCGCTACTCAGCGAATACACTGTGATATAAAAGAGTCCTGGATGGAAAAAAATATAGCGATAAAAATTCCCTCCAACTGAGTGTCAATACTAATTAGCTTCTACGGCCGATTCGAATTTTTTTTCATCTTGCTGATTTAATACTGCAAACTCCGTAAAAAAACTCCGTAAAAACTCCAGGACTCTATTAACTCCGTAAAAAATTGTCCAGATGATTCATGCAACAAAATTTTATTTTATTTTCGACCAGAAAGGCGGATAGATCTAATGATTTTCAATAGAGGGAATAAAAGCAAGATCCAGGAAAAATACCGATTGAAATTATTTCTCATTCCAGAAGAAGCACAAACTATTACTTCGCATTTAAATTGAGAAACTTTTGCCGGCTGAAAGGTTTAGCAAGCGATACGAAAAATTCGTTTATAAAGCTTCCTGTGAGATTTGATTTCGATGTTGTTAGAGTTTGTAGTGTCTAATTTATGTTTAATATTTTGATAGCCCAATATTTATTTGTAAGCTCTAGTTTTTTCGAGTGCAGCGCGTTTCGTAGACAGTATACATGCCGTGGCTCTTATTTCCAATCGAAATCGATTTTCACAATGGCAAAATTTCGACGTTGCAAGTGACAAAACAAATTCAATGGGGAACTTTTGGAAGGCTTGAAGTTTTAAGTGAAATAAAGAAAAATAATTAGTGTAAATCAGTTTTGATATCCTGGACGACTGACTAATTATTATAGTAAGATCTTTTGGAGTCAGATCAAAGCAGAAGAGTTTTTAACTCGTTGTGAACACCGGAATTGTGAACTGAGGTCGGGTAGATCCTGAATAGCAATTCAACATTCAACACTTCCATTGAAGCGGGGAAATAATAACGTTCATCTGCCTCATAAACGCTTCTACATATTAATTCACCTTTCTACTTTCGCAACCCTTTCATGTTACTGAACAACCATTATTGCATATAGAATTACCTTCCGTTTAAATATATTACAATATGACAAAACTTACGTGGAATTTCCAGACGTATGAGGACGGTGTGCCTTGGACAGTCACCAGCCTTGCTGAAGGAGAGCGAGCGGTCGCCAGCCTGTCCAACAACATCAAGCCCAGTCGCCTCGTGGTGCTGTCCACCCACACCCGCCCCATCCCGGGGCTGGGGGAGCTGCTGTCCCGCCTCGCCGCCCACCACACCGGCGACATCAGCCTGCTGCCCCTGGACTCTTTCTGGAGGCCGGCAGGGCAGGCGGATGGAGGCATGGCAGCCATCATTAACAAGTTAGTGTAAATTTATCGATAGTTTGAAATTCAGAAAAATCGCAGTATGAACGGGTTAAAATAAGGATAAAATTCCCACTAATTATACATTTTCTCTGGCATTGTGGGAGATCGTTGAGAGCAGGCTGGGGTGTGGAACCTTTTCTCACGAATAAATGCGATGTATATTGACGAAATCGGCAAAAATAACATGAAAAAAATACCCAATAAAACGAAAAATAGAGGTATGTAAATAGAGTACGTATCAATTATGTATAAATATTTCTCAAAAATGGTACTCAAATTTTTAAGTAATCAAAATATAGAACCAACACCCTCCCATCACTCTCCCGTGTAAACTCTCCAAGCCCTGACGAGTTCCCTCTCCCCAACCCTAACGAAACCCAACCCATGGACCAGTAACCAACCCGACCATGCGTCATGCGCCTGTCTCATCTTCTACTGTCCTGTCCTTTTCTCCTTCCTCTGTCTGGCCAATCTGCACCACCTCTTATTGGCTCCCACTCTTTCCTAGTAGCACCGCACCACCACCACCACTACCACCACGAAATTAGCAGGTTTTGTCATTATTGGTGAAAAGAATATCTAATACTGTTTTTTTAATCAACTTTCAATTGGGCTGTCATCAATATTTTGAATTCCAAACGGCAATTCAAGTTATCACTTTTTTCTTTTATTGGCAATATGTTCAGATTCAACTATAACCTATTAAACTTGAAAATTTTACTTGCAAATGTATCTGCATCCAATAGTGGGAAGCAATTGATTTATAATCACCTAATAAAGTGAGTATAAAATGTCGAGCATCTTAAAAGCGTATCGCTCATAAATTGAGTGAAAAAGTAAAACAACAGTGTTAAAGTACAAAGTAAAAGAACAATGTGAAGGAATTTTATCCGCATCCATGCCCCGTGTGTATTCTAATAGAATTTTTTTAATAGGTGTCTTTACGTTTAATTATAACCAATGCGGAAGCGATGATATTTATAACTGTACTAAATAGTACAATAGTTGTTTGTTGAGTCACCTCAGATGTGATTTCGCTTTGGCTTTCATGGCCTTCGAATTGAACGTCGAATTTTGTGTTAACTCATGTTACGTTTGCGGGTAGTCACGTGGTAATCGCGTGTGTCAATAGAAGCTTTCCCACGTTGGTGGTTGGAACTCAGTAACGTTCGTAGATATGAGTTACATTTTTTAATTTCCAAGCTCATAAGTTTAGACGTGAAGTTTCTTATTCTCCTCATTCTTTTATTAAATGATGTTTCTTGATCATATATTCTCTCACTTTTCCCTGCGTTCATAGAGACCGCCTAGAAACCATGTACGGCTCTCCTGATCAAGTCTTGGTCCACTTAAACTTGCGACGTTTCGCCGGAATGCAGAATGGTAGATTGTATTTTAAGATCGATTCATAGTTCATCCAAATTATTTCTGATTCATTCTAATTGCTATAGATAACTGTTTTACCTGTTGCAAAGTCTTGAAAATTTTCCGTTCTTTTCTATGAAACATTTTTACCATGAATTGTTATAATCGCTTATGTTGCACTTTTGATTCCTGAAGCAAGCTTGTTAGGACAAAACACAAACTGGCGTTTATATAGTTCATTTACTTTTATATGCTTCAATAAAAAGAGAGATGCTCACAAGTACGAACCATAAGCTGAATTCGAGTTCATCAAGAAAATCGTATGAACTAGAAAAAAAAAATAAAATGAAAAGGGTCAACTGATGAGGATCACGAACTCGTTCAAATAAGTGGGCAAAATAAATTATTCAAAACATAAAAATTGAGTATTTATTGGTAACTTACCTCGGACTTTGTTGAAAGGTGGTTTCAAGGTTTCCAAACTCCAAACAAGGGTAGCTAAGGAGTGGATTTGCAAGATTGGTGTCCGTTTTGACAACGACTGCGACTATGGGGCTTTCAAAGCCTTACCAAAACAAATAGGTAAGTTTTCTTATATTTATCCGTGTAAGTGTAACTCTTCGTTCTGCCTGATATTGAAAATTGTTGATTTTGCAAGCAGAAAGTGACCTCGCTGTTCCTTGGGAACGATGCGTGACGGTGGTGAAGTGGTCTGAGGCTTTTATTAACCGTCGTCACTGCGGACACAATGAACAACGCAAACTGACTTAGCATTTGTGGGTCAGGTCGGTCTGCATATAAAAAAAATTCAATTCGTTAACTACACATTGCCTCAGACCATCAATGCAGCCGTTGTGCAGGTTGGGAAAAGCAGCTATCAATGCAACTTTGAATTAGAAATTTGAAAGCAAAGAAAATACCACAAAAATTCACCATATCTTTATGAGAGAAAACGTTTCGGAGTCCAACTCCATCGCCAGTTCATAACACAAAATTCTGTTCAGAAAAAGTTCAGTCCTAGAAACACAAATAAATCAATTAGTAAAGTAAAATGCACTGTAAGGTTTTGAAAAAGTTCAGAAAAAGTTCAGTCCTAGAAACACAAATAAATCAATTAGTAAAGTAAAATGCACTGTCAGGTTTCAAAACGGAAATTAAATAAATATGACATGAAATTAACGCTAGTAAACGGCCTATCTATTTAATATTTCAAGAGGAAAGGAGCTAAAAGCGGCATTCAGACTAGGCTTCTGTTTGAATAAGGATGTGCAAGTAGGTTCCCCGTTCTATAACTCCTGCCCTTATGCTCAGCCAGCCTAGTATAGAAATTGCTTGCCGTCATACCGACTTACGCTGATGTGACGATCGCATAAGAACACGAGTGACGATCGCATAAGAACTAGTGACGATCGCATAAGAACAGGTAGGATATCCGTATACCTGAAAATGAGCCGATTCTAAAATTGTTAACCAGCAACACATGAAGATTTACATCGGGAAGATATTTAGCAAATAAAACTTTTAATTCTTTTGACATAGTCTCAGATGCGGGTCCAAAGTAGGGAAAAGAACAGTAAGTAACTTTCCTATTGTCACACTTGGGAACGACTGCAGTACATTGCTTGGACATAAACTTTTTAATTTGGGTGAGCACCAGGTGCGATGGAAAGCCATTTTGTGAAAAGATATTGCGCAACAATTCAAATTCAGAGTGCATGGCTAGCAGAGTAGAACAAATGCGAAAGCCGCGGTTTATCAATGTTTGGAACCCATTTAACTTGAAACGAAAGGAGCGAAAGCTACAAAAACTGGTGCTTGAACCGGTAAATTTCGATTTTCAAAAAACAGAAGTTTGGAAACGGCCATTAGATTTGGTAACTTTTCAATCAAGGAAAGACAAGCTATTGACTGATTCCAGCTCCATGATTAATTTGATAGACTTATGTTGGAGATTAAGATAGTCAAAGAAAAGGCCCACGTGAGAGGGATGCTTAAAAATCAAAAAGGTATCGTCAATCAACATATCGGTTATAGAAAATTGGCTTAAAATCAAGAGGGCAATTGGCCAACCATGTAGCCTTGTGAAAACACATGAATATATTGGCAAAAGTAGGGCCGAGTGGAAGTCCCATGCCCCAACCGTCAATTTGTCTGTAAAACTTGCCAACAAATACGAAAATTGAGTTTAGCACTGATTTGAAAAAATTGCTTTTACAACCCATGACAAGGTCATTGACATCTTTAAACAATGAATTGAGACAAATATCGATGGTTTCAGAAAGAGGTATATTAGTAAATAAATTTTCTTCATCAAAAAAAGCCATAGCCAATGCCTGAACATTGGTAAAACTCTTCAGGCGATCTACGAACATATAAGTGTTATCCACAGTATATTGGTTGGTCGTAAGACAGTTCATAAGCGGAACCAAAAATTTTGCAAGTGTGTTATGAACTGACGATGGAGCTGGACTCCAAAACGTTTTCTCTTATAAGGATATGGTGAATTTTGAGGTACTTTCTTTGCTTGTGAATTCCTGGTTAACTTGCGATTCAAGCAAGTAAGTGATTTTAACTTTGAATCACAAGTAGCCTCGGTTAGAAATAAATTACTAGGCACTGAATTCTTACCTTTCATCAGTGAATTGTTAGGAGCAATCGTTAAAAATTGTGTGGACACGTCATTACCGTCAAAATGATGGAACTTGAATTGACTGAGGATGACATAGATTTTTAATACTAAACAGAAGGATAAATTAGCTGAGAAGATATTTCTTGTTCATTCGAGTCCGGCGTGTTTTTCAGACGATGCTTGTTGTGTACGAGGAACGCCTTGCAACGTCAGCTCCAAATTGTGGAAGAACGGTTGTAGGGTCAACCGCTGGCATTTCCCAGACCTCTGCGACAAAGACTTGGACTGGATCATCTCCATGCTGTACCGATTCAGAAATTCTCGGTGCGTGAATAAACACCATTTGAATTAACTATAACTAGTATTTTCATTCTGGCAGTTTCTGTTACTCTAGCGCTTGCCATTCGAGCCCCAAGAATTTGTCTCTTTCGAAATTAATTGATATGAGGTCGAAGGACACTTTAAATTTTTTAAAAAAATGAATCAAGTATAAATAAAACAATACTTAAAAACATTGCAATATATATATGGTTTCTTACATAATATCTATAATTATGAGTATCTATAATTATCTATGAGTATCTATAATTGGAGGCTATATTAGCCTCCAATTAAAGCTGGTGTAGCCAACTCGAGTTATTCATTCAGTCAAGCATATCTACTTCGTGTCGATCAACTTTACGAAAATTCTGACTTAGATTTCTTGACAAAAATATATTATTTCTCAGTTCTTTAATTCATTGCCATCTCAGCTTGAGTCTGGTCTTACCGAGAAATGGCCTCACGCACAAGGGCGCTCGTCGGCTGTTCGCGGCGCTCCACAAAATTTGGTTGGTATACCACGACCCTGGCGCGGTGCACCTGACGGCAGCTGGCAGTAGCGGTGCACCTGATCTCACCTTCATCGAGTTGTCAACGAACAACATCATTCAATGGATGTAAAATGCTGCGGCTTGGTAGGAGGTATGTGACGGTAGGAATATAACGCAGTATATATGATGCATTTTTTCAATATTCACTTTAAATATTAAAGGTTCGAAGGAAGAAATATTGAAGATTGAAGGGACGGGTTTTTCCAAACGGGAGAGACTAGGCAGAAATGTGTCGAATCGCGTAAATCAGAGTAGGTTTTTACTGATGAGTTCAAGCGTGAAATTCATTTCTTATATCTTTTTCTAGATTTTATCAAAAATCGTAGGTAAGCCATTTACTGTTTCATAACATTTTAATAATATTTAGGAAATGGTTTAGAAATATAGGAAGGAAGCGCGTGTAAAAGTGAAAAATTGAATGGTCAATAATTACATAAAGGCTTACTTTAGAGTAAATGAGTCACGTAAAATACGCATCATATTCGAAGTACTAATAATATTATGCTAATTATAACAAAATCGACAACTTGGTGGCAAATAACAATCATCGTACATTTCTTTTAAACATAAGTGAAAATGATCGAAAAAATTAGAAAAATAACGTTGATGGAGGATAATCAACAGGGCTGTTGAACATATCTCAACATATGGTATCTATGTCGAGATATGTATTTATTTCTTTTTTATTTAAAATACTCTCAAAACATTGAACTTCAAAGTGGAAGAATTTTTTATTAGCTGAGATGTTTAAAAAGAGTTTTATGTTTGTTATCTCTCGTGATTCAAATTTGAATGCCACCTTATTCGTGTGCACAATTTCTGAATCAACAATGTTGCCAAGTTTTCTCCAAAAGCGTCAAAAATGGAAAAATACGGGAAATATGTAGCATAAATGACAGAAGCAAATTTATTGAATCAAGATTTACAAAACCCCTAACAATGTCTGCAGGATAGAAGTGACTTAGTGAAATGGAAGGAATCAAAACAAAAGTAAAAAGAAAATGCTGAAGTTTTTTCAAACGAAAATTTCTGTTATTTTAAATTCTAAAAAATATTTTCTAGTCTCCAGTTTTTTTTGTGCGGTTGGTGGATCGCAAATTCCCGTGCAAGACGATCTGAGACCTGACTGACTTATCAAGACATTGTCGACTGGCGGTCAAGCGGTGATATGCACAGAAATAGCAAACGAAATACTTTTAAAAATCATTTTAATTATATGGCGTATTGAATCATAATTAATTTAATGTCTAATTATATTATTATCAATTTAATTTATAATTTAATCACATGACTATTTTGTTTCGTGTTTTATTCGTATAATAATAACACAACAGGAGTTTACGTGCAAGGATATAGTGATTACACTTTACACTTCCAATAGTATAAGACTGTTAATGTAATATAAAAAAATTTACCTCTGTCTCCAGACACTTAAGTGTTTCAAGGCCTGTCCGAGTGACCGAGCCGAAAGCGAGTCACTTGTGGCCGCCAAATTGTTTCAGAGAAATCCAAGTATCTCCAAATGTGATATTTCGAGACACGTTGGTGTTTTGAATGTAAGAACACAAAATAACCTACGGAAAATCAAACCAGCATTTTGGTATATATGTGATACAGTTGTAGCGTATAATAGATCCTCGTCCTGTGTTCAGCACCGGATGAAGTAATTCCCATAAATTCCACTCCTCCAGGGGTAGAACAAATATATACATATATACATAATCGAATACATACTCTAAAGTCTAGAATATAAAGTATATTACATATCACATCGACATTATTACTTAAATCGTAATTATGTTATATAAAAAATTTTTATAAAACAGAAAAGTGAAAAACCGAGATACAAGGCCTTCAGTCCTCCCATTTTTTCAAAGTATTTAGATTTGTTATGAAATTAACCAGTAATAGAAATAAGTGTATTATAATACAATAATACAGTAGTAAAATGTAGTACAATAACAATAATTAATAATTATTAAAAATTAAGTGAAATGTAATGCTTGAAAAAATTGTATTACTAACTAGGATCAACTTTTATGATATGAAGAATGTATGTTGATTCATGATTGAAAGAATGTCGATCGAAGTTGAGGTGTCGTCGCGGCCACGGCGACTCTTCGTTGCTGAGTTATGCATGCTCGGGGTATTAGAATTGGTTTATTATGAAAATGGAAAGTTATATTTTAGTCAACATCATCCACGAAATTGACAATACAAGATAACTGAGAGATTAAGTGTCTTAATTTTTATTACAATAAACGAACACCATCAAAATAGAATAACAGTGAACCATAAAGAAATCAGCGAACATAAGCATGCAGTCGAAAGAAAAGAACACCATGAAAAGAAATGAATGAACAGAACAACGTTTGAGTTGAGGATATTCGTCTAAAGAAAAGAATGGTTGAACATGCCCGAAGAAGAACACAACATATTAAAATAACTTGTTTGCTTAAACCGCAAGTTAACCAGGAATTTAAAAGCAAAAAAAAAATGCCACAAAAATTTACCATATCTTTATAAGAGAAAACGTTTCGGAGTCCAGCTCCATCGTCAGTACATAACAAAAAATTCAGTTCGGAAGAAGTTCAGTCCTAGAAACACAAAGAAATCAATTAGTGGAGTAAAATGAACTGTCAGGTTTCAAAACGGAAAATAAATAAATATGACATGTAATTATCGCTAGTATACGGCTTATCTATTTACTATTTCAAGAGGAAAGGAGCTAAAACCGGCATTCAGACTAGGCTTATGTTTATATAGGGATACTAAAATTCGTTGATCAGTAACACCGGATGTGGAAGCTAGAATTTTAAAATCACTATCGGATACAGAGGTGTTGCACTGCTCGTCATGAGCACGTACAGCAGAATGCGGTAGATGTGCAAGTAGGTTTCCCGTTCTATAACTCATGCCCTTTGGCTCAGCCAGCCTAGTATAGAAATTGCGTGACCTTATACCGACGTACGCTGATGCGCACTGCGCACAACTATATCTGTAAACTAGTGACAATCGCATAAGAACAGGTATAGGGTATCCTTATACCTGGAAAAGGTGCCGATTCTAAAATTGTTAACTAGCAACACATGAAGATTGGCCCCGGTATTTATATGGTTTGCCAAAAATTCATAAACCAGATTTCAATGTGAAATTTAAATTCCGCCAAATTTTGCTGCTTATAATACCCCTAGTTTCAAACTTGCAAAATTTTTGGTTCCGCTTATGAACTGTCTGACGACCAACCAATATACTGTGGATAACACTTATACGTTCGTAGATCGCCTGAAGAGTTTTACCTATGTTAAGGAATTGACTATGGCATCTTTTGATGTAGAAAACTTATTTACTAATATACCTCTTTCTGAAACCATCGATATCTGTCCCAATTCATTGTTTAAAGATGTCAATGACCTTGTCATGGGTTATGACGGCAATTTTTTCAAATCTCGTCTTGAATTATCTGTGCTAAACTAAATTTTCGTATTTGCTGGCAAGTTTTACAGACAAATTAATGGTTTGGGCATGGGGCTTCCACTCGTCCCTACCTTTGCCAATATATTCATGTGTTTTCACAAGGCTAAATGGTTGGCCAACTGTCCTCTTGACTTTAAGCCAATTTTCTATAACCGATATGTTGATGATACCTTTTTGATTTATATGCATCCCTCTCATGTGGAACTTTTCTTTGACTATCTCAATCTTTAACATAAGTCTATCAAATTCACCATGGAGCTCGGATCAAACAATAGCTTGTCTTTCCTTGATTGCAAAGTTGCCAAATCTAATAGTTTTTCCAAACTTTTGTTTTTAGAAAATTTACATTTACCGGCTTAAGTACCAGCTTAAAATTTAAAAGCGAAGAAAACTCCACAAAAATTCAGCATATTTCCATTGAAAACGTTTCGAAGACCCGCTCCATCATCAGTTTGATAAATCTAGAACACAAATACAGTGTTCACAACTAAATTTATAAACTAGGGACGATCGCATGAGAGAAGGGAGGATATCTTTGTACCTAAAAAACGAACCTATTTTGAAATTATTGATCAGTAAGATACGAAAGTTAATGTCCTGAAAGTATTTCATAAACAAATCTTTTTATTCCCCCACAGAACTTCGGACGCACGGCCGACGTATGGAAGAGAACAGTAAACAACGTTTCTACTATCATTGCTCGACTTTCCATGCCATGCATTCTGAATTTGAATTTCGGCGCAATATCTTCTCGCTTAATGGATTTCTTTCTGGCTTGGTGTTTACCCAGATTAAGAAATTCATGTCTAAGCGATACCGTGAAGTTGTTCCAGTGCCTGATAGTAGAAACGTTGTTGATATAAGGTGCAGCGGTGTGTTGGTTGGTTACTTGTGTGTACTTACTTGGTTACTCACGATGATATAAATCTGCAGAGCGCAGGCAGTCTCACTTCTCCAACAGAAGGATTCTGCAGGAGTCCGGCAGGCGATATCAATAGATGTAAATTTATAAAATGAATAAATAAAGAAAAAATATAACTCAGTACTCACTGCAACGAGTGACAGAGAGCGAATTTTCTCGTCGACGAAAACGTGGTCATGGACAGACGGATAGACAGACGGATGGACATATGACGAGCACAATAGCACCTTTTTTCCATAAATGAGAAAATGCGCTAATAAATGACAGAATTGATAAATTGTAAAGAATTAATAAATTCAAATTCGACAGATTTGACAGAATTAATTCCGTCATTAATTAATAAATTCCAAATTCTTCTTGCCACGAAGCGCAGAAAAGCCAGTGTGACAGGAGGCTATATAGCCTGCAGCTGTCCTACAATGGGAGTGAAGATCAGCTTTAATGACATTTGTTAGCATTTCTGTAGTTTGTGGAGTCTAGTTGATGTTGGATATTCTTGTAGTCCAATACATATTTGCGGGCTCTAAATTTTCTAGTTCAAAGCGTTTTCGCTTCCAGTTTACCGCCAGCAGCTCTTCCTTCGAGTCGAAATAGATTTTCAAGATAGCGAAAATTTAACATTGAATCCTTTGAATTTAATTTTTTCATTGAATTGAATCTTTTCAAAGGGTATTCA